ATAGTTTCAAACTATTTTAAAGGTATCTGGATTAACTTTACATGGCTCTGCTACCAACTCTTGGTTGGCTCAACAAAAGACTCGGCTTCTTTTTTAAAAATTAATTAATTAATTAGAAAAATCTTTTCTCATTTTACATGCCAAATCCAATTCCCTCCTGCTTCCTCTACCTTACTTCCCCTCCCCACCCCCATCCACTCCTTGGAGAGGGTAAGGCTTCCCCCCATGGGAAATCAACAAAGTCTAGCACATTGCTTTGAGGCAGGACCGAGGCCCTCCCCAATATATCTAGATAGGTTGAGCAAGGTATCCCTCCAAAGAGAATGGGTTCCAAAAAGTCAGAATGAGCAGTAGGGATAAATCCTGGAAGACTCAGCTTCTTTTTCAGTAAAATGTAGGTTATCAATATCTAAGCTTTGTGAGAAAATACTCTGAAGTGATATGACACACGAAAAACTGTTGGTATGGTACCTAAGAAAGGAAGTACTCAATAATTAATGGTATTGCCAGTAACTCCTCCTTCCCAACTAAACAGGCTTCAATTAGGACATCTGTCTCTTGTCTGACTGTAGCCTGCTAACCTACAGTTTGTTTCCTTCATGTTCATCCCCCATTTAGCTCTCCTGCAAACCTGAGAGTGTTATTCCATGTTCTGCATACCTTTAAGTTCTAATCCTTTGCTAGAGTATATACAGCTATGACATTAGGGGCCCTGTCCATATTTATCTCATTCCTCATTCTGAACATGCTTTTTTTTTAAAAAAAAAAAAAGGATTTATTTATTATGTATACAGTGTTCTACCAGATCTCATTATGGATGGCTGTGAGCCACGATGTGGTTGCTGGGAATTGAACTCAGGATCTCTAGATGAGCAGCTAGTCCTCTTAACTGCTGAGCCATCTCTCCAGCCCTGGACTAGCTTTTAAATTTACTTTTTAAAGATTTATTTTAGGAGGCTGAAAAGATGGTTCAGCAGTTAAGAGCATTGGGAGTTCTTCTAGAGGACCTGGGTTCAATTCCTAGCACCCACATGGCAGCTTGCAACTGTCTCTAACTCCTGTTTCAAGGAATTCAACAGCCTCACACAGAAATACAAGCAGGTAAAACACCAATGTACATAAAATTAAAAGATTATTTAAATATTTATTTTAAAATTATGCATATGTGTGTATGTTGTGTGCATGTTAGTACAGGCACTAGCAGAGCCAGAAAAAGGCATGGGAGCCTCTGGAGCTAGAGTTAATAGGTGTTTGGGAGCCATGTAATGTGGTCAATGGGAATCCTCTGGAAAAGTAGCTAGCAAGCACTCTTACCCACCAAGTAATTTCTCCAGCTTTCAAGATTTCACTTAGAGATTCGGGAGTGTCTCTAACCTTCAAGCCTTGCTCACTGTAATGCTTCTCTCATAGACCTTATTCGGCAAACAGTTCAACTTGAAAACCCTTTCTATCCCTAAAAAGATTGTTTGGAAACTGACTTATCTCAGCAAGTAGCCTGGAGGGATGGTGACTCATATTTTACCAGTCCCTTGAAGAGTTTATTTAAACACAAGCTTGCTGGGTTCCACTCATAATCTGCATGTCTTATAAGATCCAGGTGACATCACTGAGAAATACTGCCTTATTAATGCCACCTCCTCTTCTCTGCTCACATCACTGAATTCCAAGTCCCCCTACACATCTTTATCCTGTGAGTTCCTTGAAGACAAGGGAGACTAAACTTAATTCCAGACTCAACATGAAGTTTGCAGAGCATACCTACCAAGCTGCTCTCAACCTTTCCATCATACTTGATTCCATGAGCAATACTTATTCCCTGCTCTGCCATACCCAGCTTCTTCTACCTACGACCTTCAGATCTGGGCAATCAACAAATTCGGTCTTGCCAATTGTATCAAGGCAGTTCTTTCCCACTGGTCCTTCCTATTCACCCTCAACATCACCATGTCATCCCTCCCCCCCCCCCTTTTTTTTTTCCGAGACAGGGTTTCTCTGTGGTTTTGGAGCCTGTCCTGGAACTAGCTCTTGTAGACCAGGCTGGTCACAGAGATCCGCCTGCCTCTGCCTCCCAAGTGCTGGGATTAAAGGCGTGCGCCACCACCGCCCGGCCATCCCTCCCTTTTTAAAGCAGACTCTTAGTATTAATTTTCAACCTCAAAAAGTTATTTTAAGTCTTCCACCCTCTTATACTTCTTGTGAAGCCCTAGCTGGCCTAGAACTTGCTATGTAAACCACGATGACCTGTAACTTAAGAGGTCTGCCTGTTTCTGTCACTGGAGTTCTGGGATTAAAGGTTTGTGCCACCATCCTTGGCCTGTCTTTAAGCAATTTTTAATAAGACCCCAAAGGCAACTGTGTTTGAGTGCTGTCCCACTCAAAAACCAGGATGCTGTCATGCCTGCTGCCCCTCCCAGGCTGCAGAGCACTTTCTTTTCTTTGATTTTCCTGTCAGCAGTGCTGAAATGGTAAAGAGGAGGCACTTCAACTGTCACGGAACCCCACAAAAAAAAAAAAAGAAGAAGAAGACTGGCTTGTGTTGTGCTCTGCCACTGCTTGTTCCATCCTTATCACATGTGTGTGCCTTTCAATTAAACAATTAACAACATACACAGACACACATACATTGTTGATGAACCAAATAGCCAACATAATATTTAACGTAAGTGGCTCCTCTTGGGTCTAGGATTATACCTTCATCTGTGCAAGCTGCTGCTGCTGCTGCTGTTGCTGCAGCCTTCTAAGGGCTTCTTGCTGCTGCTGCCTCTGGCGCATCAGCTCCTTCTGCCGCTGCAGCTCCAGCTCCTTCCGTTTTCGTTCCTCTTCCTCATGCCTAAGTCTGGCTGCTTCCTCTTCCATGCGCAGGCGGTTCTCCTCCAGTCGGCGCTGTGCTTCCTCCTCTTCTCGGGCCCATTTGGCAGCCTCCTCTTCCTTTCCAGAAGGAAAAATTAAAGAGGAAAAAAAAATTTTTTAATTAATTGTAGGGAGGATAAAATATTGCTTTTAAAGGCTTCCATCATGAGTTATACAGAAAAGATAAAGCAAAAACCCTGCTTTGGATGACATTAGTGAAAAGCAGGTTTTACAGGGGTCGCAAAGGCCTAGTGTGCTCAAGGATCCAACTCTAACAGATTATTATAGAACTGTCACCAGGTCTATGGTGAAAATGCTGACCTCAAAAGTAGTTTACCACCTGCTGTGACAAAATCTCCTAGAAATGTCATTTCAGTACTACAGGTTGAGCAAGTTTTCCAGGGTTCATCACAAGAAGTCATAAGGCCTGGCAAGAACAATAGTTTTAACAAGACTCAGCCAGGCCTGAAACCAGAGTGACTCCTCAAAAATCACTAACTTCCACTATATGACCCAGACGCCCTAGGGTCTTTTCAAAACATCTCTCCATAATTAATTCCTTCCTGTCTACACTTTCCCCCCTTACCTGCATTCATTTCCTTTCAGCTCACTATGTCCTCTGGTTCACTTGCCTCAGTGCTCAGCATGCCCTCACCTTTGCAGAGTTGATTTGCTATGCCTGCAATGCTCTATCTTGTCCAGATAACACACTGTCCCAAGCTAAGATTGGTTGTGAACCTCTGGGAGGTGGCTTTCCTCTCTATCCTTTCTTTCAGAGACTCCTCGTTCATACTAACACCCTCTCCCCGCCTCCGTCCAGGACATTTTCCTAAGCCTGCTACAAATAAAACCTGTTTCAACCTAACAGGGACACAGACATCTTTCTTGCAAATAACACTGCCTGCCACCTCAGATACTTAAAAATGAGACATTTTGCTTTAAAGCTTCCTAGTTACATTTGGACAATCATGATTTAGTCCAAGGAGACATTTGCTTGGAGAATTCTATGAGACACCCTTTCTCAACAAAAATAATAATATAGAGAAAAGTCACTCCTTTATTGGACAGAGGTTGTACAAGACTGTCACACCCAAAAGTCATAACCTGAGATAAAGAACCTAAAAGCAGAAATTAACCCACCAAGAGCTCATATAGAAGAGTATGCAAATGATCTGAATCCCACCAGCATTGCTGAGTTAGTGCCAAATGCCAAGTGGACTTAGCGTCAGATCTCCTTGACATAGGAGGCTATACTGTTTGAACCCATTTAAGTGTTTGTACTCTAAGGTACACTAACTTGGTGGCACAAGCCTTTAATCCCAGCACTGAGGCAGAGGCAGTAGGTGGATCTCTGTGAGTTCAAGGCCAGCCTGGCCAACAAGAGCTAGTTCCAGGGCAGCTAGGACTATTACACAGAGAAACCCTAGCTTGAAAAAAACAAATACAAAGAAACAAACAAAAAAGTATACTATCTCTGCCATTTTTTATTTCATCACCTACAGATTCGGTGAGCTGCTGGAGACCGAAGCATTTCCTAAAGTCTTCTATGAACATTTGCTGGGTATGGTGGCACACACCTGCAACGCAACACTTGGGAGGCTTGAGTCAAACAGATTTCAAGTTCCAGGCCAGACTAGGCTACACAGTGACAGACACCTTGCCTCAAAACCTCACCCCCTAACCCTGAAAAGGGAATGAATGAATAGATGAATGAATGAATGAATGAATGGTCTATGCTGCATTATAGAAATGGCAGGGTTAACCAACACCAAGCACTAATACACACGCTGGTTTTTTTTTCCTAATACAATTTTAGCTTCTAAAAGAGTTTTAATTTCGAACCAGCACTGTTTCAGCCAAGTGATCAAGGTTGAACAGTTATAAATCATGTTAATATATTACCCTTGATACAATGTAATAAAAACACCCCTCTGGGTTTGGGGTTATAGCTCAGTGGTAGAAGATTTGCTTAGCATTCTCAAGGTCCTAGGTTCAATCACCAGCACTGAAGAAAACAACGCAACACTTTGCCTCTGTGATCTTTCTACCCAACACCTAAAACCTCAGTCTGTTTATGAAAAAACTTCAAGCGAATTCAGTAAAGGGATATCCTTTAAGGCTGAAAAGTATTTCTTAAAACCATCAAGGTCATGCTCGCTTCGGCAGCATATATACTAGAACTGGAACGATACAAAGAAGATCAGCAGGGCCCCTGAGCTAGGATGGCACGCAAATTCGTGACATATTCCTTATTTTTAGGCTCAAGTGTCCTAGGTGGACATGTTTGTTATGCTGTAAATTTTATTTGGTTTGTACTCAATTCAATTTCAAAATTGATAAAATGTGTTCAGCTTTAGACTATAAAAAAAATCAAGGTTATCAAAAACAAAGGCAGGGATGGAGGGCGTGGATATTTGATGGTGGCACAATGTTTGGCAAGACTGAGCTAGGTTCAATACTCAAAAGCACATTACACAATTACCAGAATGGCAAAATATGCAAAAAAAAAAAAAAAAGTGCACTAAGGCCGGGCGGTGGTGGCACACGCCTTTAATCCCAGCACTCGGGAGGCAGAGGCAGAATTACAAGAGCTAGTTCCAGGACAGGCTCCAAAACCACAGAGAAACCTGTCTCGAAAAACAAACAAACAAAAAAAAAAGTGCACTAAATGGCACTCATGTGGTAGTGGCAAACACAGCTGTCTAAATGGAAGGGGAAAAATCATATCTAGTACCAATTCCAGCCCAATTCCAGGGGCTAGTGAGGTCATGGACCTTAGAAAAGGATCTACTACCACCACTTTGCCAAACCAGCACAATTTTTTACTACAAACTTTAAATCTTCTCCTTATACCCACAGATAAGTGTAGCTACCATTGCTCATCACAGAAACCTCGCCTTACAGAAAATGGAGACCCTCCCAGGAAGCCACACCTGGACACAAAGCAGAGATCAATAGACCATGGTAAATCCAGATCCAATAGACAGAGTTGCAGCACAGCTCTCGCATCTATGGTTCAGAGAACATCTATGAAGATGGGGCTACAAGACTGTAAGAGCAGAATACTAAGAAATATGCTGTGAAACAGTTTCTCCTAAAAATGTCTACAAAAACAAGATGGGAAGAATGGCGATAATGAGAAAATTTCAAGAGGTCCCAACTCTGGAAAAAGAACTATAGGCAATTAATGATTGCTGGGAGAGGAAAACTAGCCTGTTCCAGGGATGAGCCTCCTCATTAGTTGTCCAATGCAAAGTAGTTAGCCTTGAAATCATATATATAAACAACAATACCAGATTCAGCAAGTTGCGTTTTATACATACATACATGTTTGTGCATACATGTACATACATACTTGTATGCATGTGGGAGGCATGGAAGAGGTTCAAAGGAGGGTACCTGGGAGGGGCTGGAAAGAGGAAAGGTAAGAGAAAAAGTGATATAATTCTATTTTAATTTTAAACATATTTCAAAAGAATTAAGTATGAAAACTGTCACAGCCAAGGACATAGGAAGCATGACAGCTAAATGTAACGTGATTAGTAAGAATGTAATCCTGTAGCTCAAAGGATGCTTAGAAAACTTTCAGACAATCGGAATAAACAATGGAGTTTTGATAACTGGCCTTATAACTGTTAACTAATGTACCATACTAATGTAAAGTATTAATAGCAGAGGAAACTATATGCAGAACATATATGGGTACTTTCTATTTTCCCAAGTTATCTGAAAATCTAAAATTATTCTAAAAATAAAATCTTAAATATTAGAATGCAATGCTTTGGAGGTTTGGTTTCCCCCAGTGGTAGAATACCATGACTGCACCAAAGTCTGTAATTTAAAAGCACTAAATAAAATTTAAGAAACCAAAAACAAACAAACACAAAACCAATCCAAACCAATTAATAATACAACAATAATAATAACAGTAACAAACTGTACACCAAAGTGAAACAAATCTATCAGTGGTCAGAGAAAGCATTTATTTGCCTAGCACACCAGTGCTCCAGATTTAATCCCCAGCACTGCAAAACAAATAACCAAACATAGTATTTGCAAATTTGTAATTTTTCTCCTGAAGACACTATCTGATTTCACAGAGTCTAAGTAACATGAGATGGTTAAAGTGTGATTTCTGGGACAGCGTGTGGATCTACATTTAGAAGGCAGATGTGCAAAGAGGGATGACGGAAGGAGCCACGTAAGAAATGAGCCCTCAAAGATGCTGACCCAACCTGCACGAGGTAGTGCTAAGGGACTGAACCAAAATGGAACAGCTGGAAGAACTGAAAAGTGTTCAATTGCTCTACGACACGCTAGTAATAAGAAGACAGCTTTAAATTGTCTTCAACAAGGTAAATGCCTACCAAAACAAAGCCTTCCAAGATGGCAAGAATTCATAAGCTTTATAATCACAATGTTTATTATATGTTTTCTCAAAAACCAAAAGGGCTAGGTGAGATGCATGAGGGCAATCTGGCTCAACATCTGTAATCCCACTTATCAACAGAGCTGCTTTGCTAATCTAGGTATTTTAGGACGTGTCTCCTTTCACCCTCAGTGTTCCAGTGTGTTTCTCATATACATTCCATTAAGGGGAGCTGAACCTCCCCACTAAACTTACAAACAAGGTCTTAGGATAGAACAATAGTAGATTTGTATGCAACTAGTAACAGAATTTAAAACACAAGGGGAAAAGGACAGAACTAAAGAGAGATGAACAAATAAAATCTTAGAATGCCTCTCTTAGCAGTGACAAAACTGGACATAAAGAAATGAAAATACCGAATGTATTAATCACCTTGATATTATTTGCAGGATTATACTTAATTGCTGAGGAGTAGATAGCCTGAAAATACACATGTTATGTTCACCAACACACCATCATGGAGAACTTAGAGGCCATGTTCTCTGAACATAAGGAAAAGTTTAAAAACTCCAGGAAGCCAAGATGTCTCGGCACCTGTGATTTAAGGTTGATAGCCTGAGCTTGATCCCTGGAAACCATGATGGAACGAGAGAGCTAGTTCCTAAGGGAGTTGTCCTCTGACCTCCATTGTTTGTTTGGTGGTACACATGGTGCTTGCATTCACATCATACTCCAAAAATTCATACTACATTACAGAAGCAGAAGATAGAAAAGGACAATGTGGGAAGTGGGGTAGAATGAACTCTAGAAAATAGGATAGTAGGACACAGATATGAAGGGGGAAAGCGAGAAAAAAACTTAACTAGGGAGGGACTTAAAGGGGAAGGACTTAACTAGGGTAGAGGAAGGGAGGACAATACAGAAGGAGAAGGAGGGAAGAACATGCTTGAAAAAGCCACAAGGAAACAATAGATTAGACAGATAATAAACAGGTAGGGTGACAGACAGACAAGCAGTGGAATTATCCAACACAATCTAACAAAAACCCAAGTTCCAGGCAAGAAACATTTCCTTCAAGTTGTTAATCAAGAGACCACAAGAGACCCTAAAGTAATACAGGCTACTACCATCATCGTTGGCTGCCTTCTGAAGGTGAGACCCTGTTGCTAAAGACATGACACACTCTTGATTATAGAAATAAGAGATCAATCTAGAAGCCTCCTCCCTAATGACTAAGCTCTCATAGTACCAGAAGGTGCCACACAGATTGCCAGAGGAAAAAAGTAATCAACAATCCTACCCAGCTGTAAAATGTGTAAATCACAAAAATGGCAAGCTGAGAAAAATACTCCCAATGGTGCAACAATGGCACTTATATTCTGGGAGTAACCAACAGATGTCTAACTGGACTTAAGGCTGCTCAATAATAGAGACCTCATACCTGGTACTGTAAGCCTAGTGAAGAACCTATGGTCGGAATGGTCAAACCCTACTACTGGGAGAACCTACTACTGCCATTTTCCTAAACCATTATAGCTTCCAACTGTATCCTTAGACACAGATAAGTACAGTTCTCACCCTTTGTCAAAGCAATTTCTTTTCGCAGCAGAGAATTACTGACTGTGAGACATGCCCAGTTTCAAAAGGGTTATCTACAACACAACTCCTGCAACTAAGGTTCAGTTCAGGGAACATCACGGAGGATCATAAGCACCAAAAAAATCAGGACAGCTACTGTGAGATAATGTCTTAAAGACATGGCACAGACGCTGTACCCATCAACAGTATGGTTGACTGAATTAGACTTGACACGATCACATCAGTCAATATAACAACATAAAGAAAAATCTGAACACAGTCTCACCTCTATATGAAAAGCTATAGGCACTTAATGGCTCTCAAGGGAGGGAGAATCCGTTTTCTCCAGGGACAAGCCTGTAGTAATTGGAGCGGCGGGGCTTCGTCCCCAGCACCCCGGCCGCCTGGCTATCTTATGCCCCGAAATAACAACACACAAATTGTATTCATTTAAACACTGCTTGGCCCTTTAACTCTAGCCCTTACTGGCTAATTCTGATATCCCGATCAATCCATCTCTAATAATCTGTGAGCACCGGTCTTACCGGGAAGATTCTAGCCTACGTCCATCCTGGGTCGGAGCTTCATCACGTGTGTCTGCCCGGGAGCGGGGCATGGCATCTCTCTGAGGCGTCTGCCCCCCGAGAGGAGAGCTGTGGAGTCTCCGAGCTCACTTCCTCTTCCTCCCAGCATTCTGTTCTGTTTACTCCACCCACCTATGTTCTAAGCTATGAGGCCAAGCAGTTTGTTTATTAACCAATGAAATCAACAGATTGATATATGACACTCCCACACCACTAGCCCCCAATAGGTTTCCCAATCCTAAGTGGTCAGTCCTAAACAAATATATTTATAAGCAACAGGGGACTCTGGAGGGTGTGTTTGTGTGTGTATACATATACAAATAAAACAAGAGGTCATGAATTCAAGAAGGCAGAATAGGGACAAGAAGGAGTTGGAAGGAGGACAGACAGAGGTGGAAATAATGTAAACAGAGTATACTCATTCTTGAAAGTCTCAAAAACATTACAAAGATACTATTAAGAACAAAGGATATAGTCAAACCACAGTCTAAAGGAGCATACAGGTAAAAACATTTATTTAACAAAGAATATATTTTCAGAATATAAAGATTACACATCTAAGAGAAAACTTTAAATTGGTGGGGAAAACCTAAACATTACTAAATCAAAACCTGAGTGTTTTAATCACGCCACCAAAAAAGCATATAGAAAATAGAAAGGCCCAAAATCCATGCTATTATGGATTTTATTTTTTAATGGTGGTGTATACTTTTAATTTCAGCACTT